CGCAAGCGGAACAAATCAGCTGTCAGTGTGCCATAAGTGCCCCCCTTAATTCCTGTTCCAGCTTTCCTTCTTGTAGCTACGCCACAGAGTGAATGGCATACGCCTCGGCGTGCACATATCACAATGTGTTAATCTCTACATGCTTTTAACTAATCTTAAGTGAACATGTAGTAGTAAACCGCAAGGCGAGCGCAGTGCAAAATACTACCGTGTAGTAGTAAACCGCAAGGCGATCGCAGTGCAAAATACTACCATGTAAAGCTTATCTTTAGTCGAAACGTTGCTACAACAGGACGATGGAATGGTTGAGCAGTATCTATGTCAGGAATGGTTGGGAAGGTATTTAGCGACAGGCTGACAGGGCCCTGAGAGGTGACGTCACAGCCGTACCGGCAGACAGGCTCAGCTCACGGCCGCGCGGAGGCGAGGACGGGGGCAGGGGGCGGGGGGGGGGGGGGGGCGGTACTGGCCGCGCCCGCCACAGCTCTGGGATAGGTGTAACGACACGTGTTGACCGCGGGAGGGGGGGGGGGGCAACGGGTTTTCCGCGGTGACTAAGCCTTTACCGAGGGCCGCGACGCGCCGGCCGTGTGCGCATGCGCGCCTCGCCGGACTGCGGTAGGTCTGCCGCGGCCGGACCGCGCCAGGAATGCAGCCGCCGGAAAAAGGCCGCCCGGCTGATTGCTGGGGCTGTTATCAAGACCAATTAGACGCGCCGCCGGGTCCCAGTGTCGCCGGCCAGACCTGGCCAGGCTGCCCCCGTGTCCGACGCCGACTTACAATTAACCGCGCATACGCCGACGTCCGGTCCGACAGGCACAGCAGCTTTATTAAAAAGGCAGGGCTCATTTGCATACGGAGCAGCCGCGGGGTCAGTAATCACCGCCTTCGAGCTGGCCGCAATGGCCAAGCGCAAGGCCTCCCCGCTGCGGGTCACACGTCTGGGCGCCCGATTTACGGTGAGCCAAATTCAATGGCGAAATTATGCTGGACGCTTGTGTGCTGCTATCTTGCCAAGTTAATTAAAGTGTCGTGATCAACAATATGTATGCATTAGTTGCTGCGCTAGCGTAAGCGACTGCCGAGCTGTTTGGAAAAAAAAACGTTGGTGTGCGCTCGTGGTCTGCAAATGCGGCAGCAGTGGAGCGGGCAAGCAACGGAGCAGACGGCGACCCGACCCGGCAGGGAGCGGCAGGAGACGAGCCGGCGGTGGTGGAGCGTGGTGGCCGGCCCCGCCCGCGCGCCACACCTCATCCGACAGCCGGCCGCGCGGCGTGACATGCACCATTCTCGATGGACTCCATTCGGGGCAGGTGCATCGGTAGCTCTATCAGCGATCACGCGATGCAGCCGTTCCCAGAAGCCTGCTTTCACTCGTCTGCCCTCCACAGCACACAGAAGCCATTCGGCTAGCTCGGCAGCCATCATGTTATCATTATGGACGGCATGTGTATGATTTCACAGTACGGCCAACCCTGTCCTTTACCGTGCAGACGGATAACCAATTAATTGCCCGTGTCCAGGCAGACACTGGCCTCACGAAACAACAGTCGAAGCTCCACCAACACTCCATAGTCCCCCCCCCCCCCGCCCATACAACACAGGCCCTCCTACTGTGTTGTAGGAGGGCCTGACACAACCCTCCTACAACACAGTCAGGCGCAGCCTTCTCTTTCACACGGTCTCAGGCACGCGACTTCCACACGGTCTGAAAGAAGCACTGTAGACAGGATTATACCATCCGGTTCCGAACAAGCCGTACAGTCAGCTGTTTGTGTGACCGTGGTCGGCGCAGCCGCCATTGTAGGTCCTTTACGCACCGGCATCCCCGGCCGCTCGCGACGGGCGGCGTCCCTCCACCCCTTGGGTGGACGGGACGGAATGGAGTCATTACACACCATCGACTGCCACTGAGTCCGGGGGGGGGGGGGGAGAGCTCTCTGGAGCCGCCCGCCTGACAACAGGGCCCAACCCCTGACAGCAGGGCCCAGCCTCCTGACGTCGGGGTCCAGTTACCTGACAGCAGAGCCCAGCCGCCTGACAGCAGGGCCCAGCCGCCTGACATCGGGGTCCAGTTGCCTAACAGCAGAGCCCAGCCGCCTGACAGCAGGGCCCGGCCGCCTGACGTCGGGGTCCAGTTACATGACAGCAGAGCCCAGCCACCTGACAGCAGGGCCCAGCCGCCTGACGTCGGGGTCCAGTTACCTAACAGCAGAGCCCAGCCGCCTGACAGCAGGGCCCAGCCGCCTGACGTCGGGGTCCAGTTACATGACAGCAGAGCCCAGCCGCCTGACAGCAGGGCCCAGCCGCCTGACGTCGGGGTCCAGTTGCCTGACAGCAGAACCCAGTCGCCTGACAGCAGGGCCCAGCCGCCTGACGGCAGTCACCAGCCGCCTGACATCGGGGTCCAGTTACCTAACAGCAGAGCCCAGCCGCCTGAAGGCAATGGCCAGCCGCCTGACATCGGGGCCCAGCCGCCTGACAGCAGAGGCCAGCCGTCTGACATCTGGGTCTAGCCGCTTGACTCCGGCACCCTTAGCGTCCTAAGTAGTGAAACTGTTAGCCAGCGCTCAGCTTTGTCGATTGACACTGCATCCAGGCAGGGCAGCGCAGCGGTGACGATTTCTTAGTGCTGCAGACAGTGATAAGGCCACAGCAGCACCCGCCAGTGACACTATTCTGGCATAGTGACGCTCTTTGACGCTCTTTGGCACGTTGCCAGCTGACCTTTGTATGCCAGTCGGGCCAAACAAAACAAACGTTATATCGGAACACCGGCTCCTACTTTAGTTACAAGACCCAGCCACTCAGGTCAACGTACTTTGGTGCTGCACTTCATCATTTCTTGATGCCTTTTTTACTGAAACCTATGTGCCATGCAGGTGCTAAGGTAACGATCAGCTGGGCATCCCGTCATACCTGTAAATGTAATAGCGAGAAAGACTTTCCAGCTTCGTTTTATCAACTGACTGAACAAACTTGTGCTGCGACACCAAGCTAATTGTTGCCTCCCCATATGCCATCTTCCTAATGCCTGGCCTTTACCCGTTATGAAGGACATCCCGCGCGGGGACATGTGTAGTCCCAGCTGCCTAGCTACAAGGGGGCGGAGGACCGTTCTGCGTCTGTTCTGTTTGGTGCCTTTAACTCACGGGACGGACATGTGCAGTGATGCGTCCCAGTGGTGGCTGGTTGTGCTCTTCGTGTGTGTTTGCATTTCTGGGAATCTTAAAACGCGAGTCGGCAAAGGTAATAACCAATAATAATGAGGGTCCTGGCTTCGATTTATATCTGACTTCTTGTGACTACTTATGTTATTTATATTTTTATCGGATTTGATCATCCGACTGAAACACGGTACTCCAGCTGCTGTCGAATGGGCGGCACTCGGGAGCAACAGACAGGAACCAATGGGGACGAGAGACGGAGAGGAACGAGAGCGGGAGACGGGAATGGGCGGGAGAGGAGGGCAGGGAGTCGTGGAAGCGAGAGGCAGGGAGCAACGGGAGCGGGATACAGAGGTCAGAGGGAGCGGGAGACATATGACAGCGGGGCCGGGGGACAGGGGGCTCTGGAACGGGGACAGGGCCAGCGGGGGCGAGAGACATATGACAGCGGGAGTGTGAGGAAGGGAGCAGCGGGGGCATCAGACGGAGAGCAGCGGGGGAGTGATGAAGAGAGCAGCATGAGCGGCAGACCGGGAGCAGCGGGAGTGTGAGAGAGGGAGCAGCGGGAGCGGCAGACCGAGAGCAGCGGGAGTGTGAGAGAGGGAGCAGCGGGAGCGGCAGACCGAGAGCAGTGGGAGCGTGAGACAGGGAGCAGCGGGAGTGTGAGACAGGGAGCAGCGGGAGCGACAGACCGAGAGCAGCGGGAGTGTGAGACAGGGAGCAGCGGGAGCGGCAGACCGAGAGCAGTGGGAGCGTGAGACAGGGAGCAGCGGGAGCGGCAGACCGAGAGCAGTGGGAGCGGCAGACCGAGAGCAGTGGGAGCGTGAGACGGGGAGTAGCGGGAGCGGCAGACCGAGAGCAGCGGGAGTGTGAGACAGGGAGCAGCGGGAGCGGCAGACCGAGAGCATCGCGGGAGAGTGAGAGATGGAGGGAGAGCAGCGGGAGCGGCAGACCGAGAGGCAGGGGGCGGCAGAGCGCAGACGAGAGCAGCGGGACGAGCGGCGGCAGCCGAGAGCAGTGGAGCGGGAGCACGACGCAGACCGAGAGCGTAGCGGCAGCGAGAGCACGGGAGGGAGACGGGAGCAGCGGGAGCCCCGAGAGCAGTGGCAGCGCAACGGAGAGCAGGGAGCGGAGAGCGGGAGCGGCAGATGGAGAGCAGTGAGAACGGCAGACAGCGAGCAGCGAGAGTGTAAGATGGGGAGCAGCGGGAGCAGAAACAGGGATCCCCGTATCAGCGGATTGGCCCCCGCAGTCGAGGGCATGGGCTGACATCGATTGAGACCACATTGTGGCTGCGTGTGGGGAGGGGGAGGGGGAGGGGGATAGTCGTCAAGTGTTTGCCAAGCGATGAGCGGGCGATTGGTCTCGCCAGCCGTCGCTAATGGCCAGCAGCCCGCCTATATGGATTTGGCACTAGTTTCGACTGCGGGACGATGACGTCACTCAGACACCATTCGCCCCGCGGCACCATCGCTCAATTGGTCCCATTCAGTCGGAGCTTAAGTGACCTGCTGCCGAGGACAGTGTGTCTGGCGTCGACTCGAGCGTTCCGCCAGCGACAATTGGTCAGACGCCAGTCCGAATTGGCTAATAGTGATGTATCAGTTAGTGTACATACGTTTACTATAACGGCCGTTGCCATCGCAAAAACTGTCCTGGTACAGCGCGGATGAGGTGGAGGACTAACGGCGCGTCCTGCGTCCACGACCCTACGTTCGTGGAACACCTGTGCCGCGCGTGATCTGTCGCCACGTAGGACACGCCTCGAATGTGGTCCCTTCGGCGTCCAGCTTAAACGGGGTTGCGCTGTGGGAGCGCACTCTTAGAACTCACCGCGTACTCTAGGTGCTCCATGTTGTTCCAGGCCAGCATCATGGCCTCGGAGATGTTCATGTACATCTTGAACAGGTAGCCCTTGACGTCGTTGCTCTGCTGGAGGGAGGTGGCCAGTCTCTGCAGCACGCCTACGTAGTCGGCCCAGGGGGCCGACAGCTTGGACAGCGGCGCCATGCAGCCGCGCATCACGTTGATGCAGAAGCCGGTGCACGGTTTGACCTCGGCCAGTCCCTGACACGCCGAGCAGTAGCTGAGTCGCGTCAGGGCGTCGTAACATGAGTCGGAGTACCCGAAGTCCGTGGTGGTGCTGAGCACCTCTAGGCCTACGTACAGCGACTGCAGGTAGAACTTAGCCACGCCGAAGGTGCGCAGCACCTTTTCCTTCATGCGCAGCGGCGCCTGCTTGAAGGGGCGCAGCTCGTCGCGCCTGAGCCGTAGGCAGGCCGCGAACGTCTCGTTCAAAGCGGGCTCATTCGGCTGCCTCGCCTCCTGGTACGCCACCACGAACAGGTCGTCAAAGAAGAGCGTGATGGCGTCCTCGAGTTGCGGGTCCGAGATCTGGCTCTGGAAGTAGCTGGTGAAGTTGTCGAACAGCTGCCGGATGGTCTGGTGCGCCAGGCCGGCGCTGCCCGGGTTGTGCTCGCTGTAGGTAGCCTGCGTGGTCTCCTTGGCCAGGGCGACGACCGTCAGAATAGCATCTGCAAGACGCGACACTTCATCAGGTACCGAACGGGGCACACGGAGAAAACTCCTCTGTACCGCTTTCAACGATCTGACCACCCTTTCAACAAAGCTGCAGTGCACTTAAAGGCATGACACACATATAAGCGCAAGGATGTATCAGATATTCCTATGCGATAACCACGACACCACGTTTTGCTCAAGCGGGGAGTCTTCGCGATCCAACAATGTCGTGGCGCGCTAGCTTTGCCCTGCACGCTCGACACGCCGTCACTCCATCTAAGAGGGCATCTAGGCGAATACCAGGCGGCTGCACAAAACGCTGGGGACAAATTACGATATCTTTTCAATGTTGTCTGTACAATGCACCGCATTCGTATCAGATTGTTCGTCGTCGTGATCTTATCTCTTCAAGCTGCAACCAAGCAGGATTTTTGCGCGCGTCAGACCCGTTACAGCCCTGGGTGGTGAATAGATACTTGGAAACTGTCTGAACGCACTGGAGCAGGAAGAAATGCTAGGGCTGGTGTTGGTAGCCGTGCTGGGACTGAATTAGGGCTGGAGTTCATGTCAGAGCTGGAGCTGGAGATCGTGTCAAGTGCCAAAGCTGATGACAGTGTTGAGATCACGCTGGAGGTAGTGCCGGTGCCGAAGCTGGACCTGGCCTCCGCCGCCCTCCAGCGCCCTATGGCGGCCAATATCATCGAGCGGGCATCGCGGGCGAGAACGCCAGGCACTCAGCATTCCAGGCAGAACCACGTCGGCCGGCCCGGCAAACTTCGAGCGGACAAAAACGCCCGGCGCTGAGCGGCAATGGAGGCGGTGTGCGCCGGCCGCCGGCGGGCGTGCCCAGGGCGAGTCCAGCCGCGCTGGACGGGCCGGGGCACGGTCAGCGAACGCGGCCGCGGTGGGACAGGGCACGGCCGGGCCGATGTCG